TGTTGCATTTAAATTTTTTATAATTTTGTTGTTTATTTTTAACAAGTTGAAATATAGTGTCATCGGTTTACATGTCTTAATCAAAATTTTTGCATAATATGGAAACATTGAATTGGTGTTCAAAAGGTTAAACTGGCCGGTTTGAGGATAATTCACTCTTAACAAATACAGGGTCCATAGCGTTGGGAAAATTCTTAGAAAGTCTTTGAGTTGTCTTTAAATTACAGGAAAAATCTTTGAAAAGTCTTTAAATTTCTTCATAGTTATTAATTCATTTTAGAAAGGCTCGTTGGTCAGAGCTTTGAACCCTGAGGGTAAGTCTTCATGGCTATGAACATGTAAATAAATTATTGTTTTTGTACACATATGACCTGCTATTTTGAGCTTTGGGGATGATGTTGGAAAAATCAAGAAAGTTTTGGAAAAGGTCTGGAAAAGTCTTGGAATTCATTTGACTCTTGGTATATGGACCCTAAAATATCATTTCATGGCTGAGTTTTGGTAAACAAAACGATGGTGAAATGGCATATAAATAATCATATTATAGAAATTCGAAATATAAAGGCAAATAACTTTTCAGTTATTCAACATATAGTGTTTTCGTTATCAGAGTATCTCATGATATGGCGCCCCATGTGAAGACCTACAGACGATTAGAAAACATGAAAGCTAGCATATTTGCTGTGAGTGGACCAAGGCGGGTATCTTGTGTGGTAAGTAGGACTACCCATAATTTGTGTTATGTACAAAATGTAATTAGTTTTGAGTAAAAAATTTAAATTTTGAGTTTTCAAGAGTCTGGTCACTGACTCACATTGAAATTTGTTGGTTATTCTGTTTCAAAACAGAAATTACATATAATACACTAAAATTGCTTTGTGATGATCATCTGTCTTTAAGTCTTGTTGTTTTTACACTAGTATACCGCATTGTTCTCTCTGGGCCTTATAAGCATCAGAACAAACTTTGAACCGAATTTGGCAACTCGTAAAATATCAACTTTTGAATCTGGGTCATTGACCTCGTATATAAAAGACTGTAAGCGATAAAGGAGACAGTGCAATTTTATGGAACTTTTTGTGGAGGAAATTATTTTGTGTACATGCAAAATATTATATCTTTGTCTTTTTTTCTTTTCCATTCTAACTATGTGGTTCTGTTTTTGATTGATTACCTCGTTTTTGATCTCATGTTAAGATCCAATTTCTCTGTGTACTTATCCCAATATTGAAAAACTAGTATCTCTTTTCTCAACATACCAACCTTGTATTATTCGTCGCTTAGCTATATACTTGTTACAAATATTCAAAAGAGGAGATAATTATGAGACAAGTTAAATGTAATATCTTAGTGATTTATTCATTCTTTACATGTAAATTGATTTATCATATATTTTTTTTTTCTTTCTTTTGTGGTATTGTAATTAGTAGTATGTGTTTCTCTTTTTCTGTAAAAACACTTCTACCTATGTATTTTTAAATATTGTGTGATGGGTCCCGGCCCAGTACTGAATAAAGATTGATTGATTGATTGATCTCATGTTAATATTTTGAGTATATTACAGCAATGTTTCAATAGTTTTTTCTTTCACACTCTCTAGATAGTTTTAGTGGCAAGGAGTTAGTAGTATTGCTATGTTAATCATACGGTGAATACTGTAAATGTATTAAATGTACTAGTATGTGTTTCTCTTTCTCTGTAAAAACATCTCTACCTATATATTTTTAAATATTGTGCGATGGGTCCCGGCCCAGTACTGAATAAAGATTGATTGATTGATTGATTGATTGATCTCATGTTAATATTTTGAGTTTATTACAGCAATGTTTCAATAGTTAAACTGTTTTTTCTTTCACACTCTCTAGATAGTTTTAGTGGCAAGGTGTTAGTAGTATTGCTATGTTAATCATACGGTGAATACTGTAAATGTATTAATTATTCACGTGTTTTTAATTTTACTATTTTTCCTGATAAGTATAATTCTCTAAATTAAATCCACTTTCTCTGCCAAATGCATGATCTTAAAACCCAGTGAATATACCCAAACTATCGGATTATCAGTGTTAAATGTCAGTGAAAATGTTTTTACATATGGTCATGTTATGTAACAATGTTTCTATAGTTTAACTATGTTTCTGTTGCTTTTGCACTAGATGTTTTCAAGTCATCGAAGAGTGCGTGTGTTTGATATGGATGCAGAAGATGAAGAGGGAGATGTAGACATAGAGGATGATGCAGAGACAGATGAAGTTGATGATAAATCAAAGGAAGATGAAAACAATGATAGTATGGTACTATAAAAAGACAAAAAACATCCATGATGCACTATAGTTTTAGGCATTTCGAGCATCATTATATTATCATGATATTCAATTTACTTATATGTAAATTTGTCAATTAAATAGTTCATTTTTTTTTAATTAAAAGTGAATTAACAGAATTCAGTGTTTGTCAGTTCTTTAGTGTGTTTGCTTGTCAGCCTGTTTCTGTTATCCATACAATAATACCCAATGCTGATTTGAGCAATATCCAAATTTTTTTTTTTCAAATCTTGTGCATATCTGACAATCATTGAAAGTATTAAAAAAAATATCTCAATTAATGAATATTGTGACATTTCATTTTAGAAACAATGCCTTTGAATCAAACTTTAAAAAAAATGTCAACATTTGTAGCCAGAAATTTTGATAATCTCTTCCCAAATTAATCAATAAATTGTAGAAAAAGACATAACAAAAAAACAAGGAAGTTTGGTAGGAAAAATAATTGTGATCACAGGGTTAAAATGAAAACTCCTATGATATATAGTATTCAACAACACCTTTACGATGATGTCATCACATTGCACTATTGGCAATATCAGTACTGTAAAATACTTAATTTTTGCTTGGATTTAATTTTCGCTGTTTTTGCTGAAGGAATGGAATGAATGAATTTTCTAAAAACTCTTTTCAGCGAAAATTAATTCCAGCTAAAATAATGTATTTCACAGTATCTGCAACATAGATTGTGATGCAAAACTCGTGAATATAATATATCCCATTTTAACCCTGCATATGATTATTGGTATCCAAGCAGATCATTGTGTCATGAAATGTTTCAGACGTTTTTGACTTTTTTAAGTTCAAAAATAGCATTTTTATACTTACAAAAAAAAAACAATTACACAGAGCATAGTGTTACCAAAATAATTGGTTAAACCTTGTTTTAATTGTTTCTGCAGCCTGAAAATCCTACTTGATAGATTGGTGAATGTATAATTAAACGCTGTAAAGTTTGTTTCATACAGTTTTTTATGTATGTATGGTACGCGTTTTTTTGTTGAAAAAATAAAACAAACGTATTTGCCGTCTTTGGTCGACATTTTTTTAAGCAACCGAGAATTTGTAACTAGTCTCATTAGGATGTACGAACACGTGTATTGAAATCACTGAATTTGATACTTTTCAGTAACGAAGTATCAATTACAGACCGTTCAGATAATGCACACGTTTCATTCAAAAAAACAAATATGTTTGCAGTCATTGCCGTAGAGGGAGATTCTTTAATCCATAACTTATTTTCGTCACGGTCATGCGACAGAGATTTCCAAACTATTCTGGTTAATATGTGCCAGCACATGTAAGAAACGTACATTGGAAATTGTATAATGCATTTCGGCCTCTGGAGAATTTTGGTACTCGCGTAGTTAATTGATCTAGGTCAAAAAAGGTCAATCCGTTAGGCACAAGCCAGGTACATTAAACTTGTTGCTACTTCCGCGTCTCCTACTTGAAAAGGGCGGAGTGCGGTATATTCGTTAAAAATCGTTCGATCAAGGTAAGTTTGCCTTACAATAAGTCTTAATAATATTATCTAATGCATTGGACCTACAGGCCCCGTAGTTCAAGGGTTCGTCCGTGGTATCGAAATTGCTGATTTTGTTTTGTTTTCTAAATCTCCGATGTCATGACCTTGGAATGATTTCTACTTTAGTATACTTCCTTGTTCCCGGTGTTGCGATCGTTATAACTCTAAACACGTTAGTGACAGTTATTAAACGTTTATTCCAACGTACTGTGTATATACCCGGTGCTAGAAATACGCGTGAAATGCCTACTGGGTCAATGGTTATCCGTGACCCGTCTCGACATGATACGAGTGGAAGGCTGTGTTTGTTTGTATAGTATAGTTGCAAACTTGAAGCTCAGTCAACACTCCTGGATTGTTGTGATATTCATGAAATATTGTTGTTGTTACTGCGACACGTACATGGCTAAATGACACATGTTGAAACTTTGGCAGAACTTTAAACTTTATAAATTTATAAACTGAGTATTTTTTTATTTTTAAGAAGATGAAATGTGATTACTTTCAGTAAAAATAACAAATATCTGAGTCTTGACTAAGACAGAAAGAATGACAAGTAAAATAGTCCCCCACCCAGTAGTACAGGATAATCTATACATAGAGAGAATTTTTTAGAGTCACCCAACAAATACTGACATTTCCTAACTGTTGTAGTGAAAGACCTAAATGCTTAAATCTGACTCAAGTGTTGATTTAATATTATACCATAAAAAAAGAGTTAAGCATACATCCTTTGCATGTGTCTAGTACTTTATGTGGGACATATGCACATCCAGTGGTTTAGCGATTTGATTCAAAGTGGCCGACTGGCAGTCATCTTGTTTTTTGAAAATGTTTTGGACATACTTTATACATGTCAGGATACATGTCCATGACAATTTGTTTCAAAATCGGATCAAGGATGGCCGACTGGCAGGCATCTGACTTAAAAATGTTTTTCTTTGCTATGTCTTAAACCGAAGGGGTCGTCACACAACACATGTTGAATTTGATGTAAATAAAACAATCTGTTGTATTTGCCGCTTGGAACTCAAGTTTTGAGGACGCGCTCGCGACAACCCCTTCACTCTAATATGATGAGCACAAAGAGAAATTTCAAAATTTTAACGGGGACTGTGTCATTTTTAATGACTTGTTTCTTTATAATTCATATAAAGATGGGAATTGTTTTTAGAACTGTTAAGCAGACATAAATATTAATAAAAGTCTAAATCTAGAATAGAGATTATACATGCAACGTGAAGTCTACTGAAATCAAACCCAGCGTGTATTACTTCTACTACAGTTAAATTTACATGTCGGTTTACATTACAGTGTCACGTACATTGTAATGTAAACCGACATACACTTATAATTTTTACACAATATTTTTTCTCCAGTAATACAATTACACATCAAGGATGTCTGAGCCAGATGCAGCTCCTGTTCTCAAGCCTTCGGCTCAAAGTTTAGACGAAGCTATCGCTGATATTGAATCTTTACCTACACTGCCGCCAATTGCACAGCAGCCTTGTATCGAGGCGCAGTCGAAATCGTTGACGTACACAGCCAACTATGACACCAACTTTGAGGATAGAAATGGATTTCTCACTGGCATCGCAAGATTCATGGAAGAAGCCACTGTTCATTCACAGTTGGTAAGTTGTTTATAATGAAAACTGTCAATTATGGTAATGTATGTAAATTTCACCAAAGTCAGTGTGACTCCCTCGCTGATATAACCTATGATAATTTCCCAACTTCAAATCTTGTTCTTGACTGAAATTCATAATAATAATTATTATAAAAACCATATAGATACTACAATTCACTTTGGTTTGTAAATAGCAAAATATTTTTTTTTTTTTTCAAAAACATTTACTCAATCTAAAAATTATTTGTATAAACAGCCATGCAAGCAGTTGACACCATAAATATAATAAAAACACCAGAATAAACAGTTATTTCAGGAAATTTTACAGGGAAATAAACTGAGCTATGTCTTCCTGCAGGAAATGCACACCTTTACTGAAACAGCGAAGACAAATTTTCAAATTGTATTTGGTCATGTCACATTTCTACTATCGGTAACTCTAACTGTGCAAAGTTTATTAAAACAATACCTCTCCAAACATTTATAATAAAGATAAGCTGGAAAATAATTTTTTTATAAAAAAAAATTTCATTTTTCTGTGCATAGTCATTAATTTTATTTAAAGCCAGAGGGGTGTCACCTGCGCACACGAGGGAATTGAGTCCCAAGCGATGATAACAACGCAAAGGCTCATAGGGTAGATGCTTGTTTGTAAACAATGACACACTATGGCCGTCTGACGCATGCGCATGCGCAGGTGACGACTCCCCCGCTTTAATGATGGCTGTTCATGTTCATGTGCCATGCATTTCATTAAACATAATCAGATTTTTTTGAAAATTTGTATTAATAATAGAATTCTTTATCAATAATCTTATACTAGGTATGACTTCTTCAAACCATGTCATTCGCCATGGAAATCAATACAAACAACATGTGCATATTATGCCATTTTTATATCATTTCTGACTCATAAACCCTTAATAATGAAAGTATTGAATAACATCTGTGTATGGCCTTGTGTGCATTGTAATCATTTTTGTTTTATATCAGAATGAACTTTTAGAAGAAGGACATGGCTATGCTGTAATGTTGTATACTTGGAGAAGTATTAGCAGAGCTGAACCGAAGGTTTGTGTAATAATTTGAATCAAATATTTTTCTTTTAAAACGGGGACAGCTAAAGTATTCTTGGCGCAGGAAAAAGGAGAAGAAGCTCAAAGACAAGGGAATACACAGCCCCCAGAGCAGCTGCAGACAGAGCAAGATAGGGATCTCTTCTTGTTACCTCAAGTGCCAGCAGGCACAGGGAGGAAATTGAATTTATATACATGTACTTCCTTGGTTTCAGTCTCATGTTTGCCAGCCATTATAAATGTTATACCATATTTGCTGTATTAAAGTTCATTTCTAATTGAATTACTCTATGCTTAATAATTAAACACTTACATGATAGCATGCGCTTCAAATATAGCAAGTACAATGCCATGTTTTTCAAATGCAGTCGATGCTTCATGAACGGTTGTTTGCATAATATATTGTGAGTACGTCATAACCCAGATTAAACTTTTTATTTTCATATTTTCATATATTTTGTGTGTGAGGCAACAGTTTCCAAAATTTAATATTACTGTTAAGTGATAGTGTTAGAGTTATGGGTACATATTATATACAGTATGTTCTTTTACTGCACAAGCTATAATCCATATTTGGGACAGTGTCGTGTGATCATCTTATTTATTGTGATGCTAAGAAATATTGTGCGATTGAAAAATACATACTAGCTACGAAATAGTTGGAATCAACAAAAATTGTGTCCTGCATGAGACACTGGGCTAACATTAAATCATTTCAATTTTGAGTTTATGGACTTATATATGTGTGAGAATCTATATTCATAACCATATCTTTATCAATCAATCAATTATCAATTAAATTCAATCAATTAGTCAATCAATTATATTTCTAACCAATAGCATCACAGAACACAGTGGAATAGTTTAATTGCGTAGACAAAAATTATCACAAAATTCTTGTAATACATGCTTTGCAAATCAGTATGCTAGACACATCTGAGATAAACAGTAATCTTTTACATACTCAATAATAAATTTTAACATTTTTTTTTTTTTAGAATGTTAAGGACGAAGAAAGAGATGAAGTGAGTGAAAAACTGATTGAGATATTGGAACCGGAAATAAATAAATTATATGACTTGATGAATTTTCAGGTGAGAACAGATGAAGGGGTTTACAAGAATACATGTATGACAATTTATCCACAATCAAACAAGGAAATCAAGCCAATCACATTTTATTCAATAATCCAATGTTGTTTATGTGGAACAATTTATTTTTTTGATGGGTCATTTTTTTTTTCTTTAAATGTTGGAAAATTTACACTTAACAATTTTTGAAAAATTTCAAAAAAGTGAAATCTACTATTATTCCATAAAATTTCCAAATCATTGAAATTCCTAGCTAATAAAATTAAAATGTTTACACTATAGAAAAATACAGAATACTGATGTCACTTGATTTGATCAGAGTTGTGTTTTTCTAGTAATATAATGTATGCATGCATCAAGCTCAGACTTGTTGTGTAGAACTTTAACATTGCATTACATACGAACCCATATCAAACATGAAAGTCTGTTCAGAAAACAAAACTTGAGGTCAATGACCTCAGATTGATTAAATGACGTCACTGTACATGTATGTTGTAATTTATACAAAACACAAAAGTGTGTTTTTCTCTTGATTTGCTACACATTCAATAACTCCAAATTTGTTTTGTTTTTTCAGAAAAAAGCAATTGAGAGATTTTGTGGTGAAGTTAAAAATCTTTGCCACCAAGCACGAAAAAATGAGTTTGTCTCTGAGGCCTACTTACTGACACTTGGAAAATTCCTCAATATGTTTGCTGTGTTAGATGCTCTGAAAAACATCAAAGCCAGTCTGAAAAATGATCATGCAAGATACAAAAGGTTTGTCTACCATTGTCAAATTTTGTCATCATTTACAAAATAATTTTATATTTGTTCCAAAATTTGGATCAGAACCTGTAGCTAATAAAAAATTAAGTCCATTTGGTTCAAAATTATTCAAACAAATCTAAAAAAATGCATAAAAATATGAAAAATGATGCACCAATATTTGGCGGAAAATAAATCTGGTGCTCCAAGGGTTAAAGGTGAACTGATACTATAAATAGGGGCAAGATGGCCACCGCAATTAGTATGCTAATCCAAACCAAGCCGCTCACATCGTGGTGCGAGCTCCAGGAATTGTGCCATTTACGATGTTTAGAGGTCAAGCTGTGATTCCAAATACGTATTTTACGGGTGCATGAATATGTACTCTAGCGATTAGACTCATCTGGTTGGGCTTTTGATGTATAAATGTTGTAGTTTTCGAAACGTGCCACAACATGTGAAAAATCATGATTTTAAAATGGCGGCTAATGTATGCAAAATGCCTGTCAATCACAGTTTGAGTAAGTGAGCATAGTAAGCATTCATTTTAATACTTAGTGGACAGAGGCGGAGTTAATTACCCATGAGCACGTGGTGCAATCCATGGGATTGAGCGGACCTCTTTCATTTGCATAAGCATGTAAATTACTAATAAAGCAAATATGATATTTGTACATTTCAACCTAGTGAAAGATGTGCCTTCATTGCCAAAAAATTGACTCTAAATAAAGGGGAAAATTGTGTTTAATTGTACCAGCATGTATAAAAGGAGTTAGTACTTATTTGTGGTTTATGTGCATACATGTCTACATGAGTGTCTGGTTGGTAAAAATCAGTGGTTCAAACCCAAAAATAAAAAACACTGTCCTGCTACATCTATACATTGATATGTCTTATCACCGTCTCTCCGGTGGTCTTATGAAACATGAGCAACATTGTTACATCAACTTGTAAGCAGAAACTCTTCTTTACAAAAAATGCAATCCCATGATGCCAGTGTTTCGGCTTTAATATCGTCCACACATGTTTGTGTTTTCAGAGCAAAGCAGTCATTGAAGCTGACCAATCCCGCCGATCTAGATGAGTCGCATACTCTAACGATGTTTCTCGCAAACAGAGATGATATTACGAACAATTTACAGGCAAATCTTGAGAAGATATCCGGATATGAGGATCTGCTTGCAGATATCATCAATATCTGCTCTTATCAGTACGAGTCTAAGATGTATCTATCACCCACAGAGAAACATATCCTACTTAAGGTAATAGTACGGCTACATTATGGGTTTATGGAATAAAGATATGCAAATCAGAGAGTAACATGCAAATACCGGTAAATATTATTTCAATTGAGTGATACACAATTTCTAAAATCTGATGTATTGCATTTTTTTTCAATTTCATGTACATGTATTTTATTAGTACTGTAATATTTTGTATCATTTGTAATTTTTTTATTATTATTACATACATTTATTTTGTATTATTTCAAGTATCAAAATTTTTAAAAACTGCCAGCAAATAAATAATAATTTAAAATACCGATAGTAGAGTAAACTTATTTAAAAAAAAAAATTAAAATGCATATTAAAAAAAACAACAACCTAGTATCTTATTTTATACATATTTATTCTAACAATGCTACAATGATGGCAATACAGTAACTGTAATATTTGTGAATATCTTCTAGTGCTGATTCTGTTCTAAACATTTTGGATTCCGGCATTCCCATGGTGTATCCTTGGAAGGAAAAGATGTATAATAATAAGGTTATTACGAGGATACCTCAAAGTATGCACTCAGACAGTACACTGCTGCGCCTCGGTCGATACTCAAGCTGTACTGTCTTCATGCGTACTTTGAGGTATTCCCGTAATAACCTTATATTATATGGAAATAATCATACAATGAAATGTCCTAATATAAACAATGATGTATAATTATATAAAATTAGTGAGATTTATTGACCTTTGACCTACAGGTGATGGGATTCTGTTTGTCCATTTTGGATGGTACTGTGGTGAACATTTACAAGATGGATTCCAAGAAAAAGATAAACCTCTCTAAAATTGACAAGTTCTTTAAGGTTTGTAAATAATAGAATTGTTTTGTTGAGTTATTTTTAGATGACTTCATCTGAAACCAAGATTCTCATGTGAAAATGCCAAAATCTGTGTACATTGGCTTAGTAGATTAATAATTCAATGGTTTAAGTGTAATGTTAAAACAAAGCGATTACAAAGTAAAAGTTCAATAGTCTTTTGTTCTATATCTCGTGCTCTCTAGCAACAATTTCGCACTTACCGGTAAATCTGCATCGTTAATTGGTTTAAGAGATTCTGTTTACAGCGTTTTTATCTGAGGTTGTCTGTCAATTAAATAAAATACTGGTTTTAGCAATTTGCAATATCCCAATTAACAAAGGTCTCAACTCAACAACTAGTGTGAATGACATTAGCACTCTTATACATCATTCTGACATCACAGAAGTGTTTCCTCACTACATGATACAATTTATATTATTGCCAGATTATGTTTATTTTAATTGCAGTAATTGTGTACCGGGGTACCTTCAAAAGACATCATTTTTTTGAACAATATATTTCTGGGTGTGGTTTTTAAGTAAATTAACAATTAACTACTTTTCCCCGAATAGAATCTGGAGGTTGTGCCCTTATATGGAGATATGCAAATAACCTTATTTACATACATACAAAGAGGTCGTAATTATGAAGACAATAAATCCCGATGGAGTTGCAGCGGTAACACAGTACAGTACAATATACTGGAACACTTGAATGTCATACGGTCGGAGCACACTACGTATATTGCCGATTTGACGAGATACGGCAGTAAGGTCAGTCACATTCCACTGTACTATGTTGTTGATGTCAGATAACCATGAAAAATCGTCAAAAGTGAGCATTTTTGAAGACAAGTGTATTTCCGATATTGAGTATATGGGGACATTTGTAAGTATGAAAACGGATATAATTTATAGTAAAAAAATGGAAAGCCATATAGATATATATTCTAAAGCCATATAAATTCATTATTACTCCCCGTTCGAACGCAATCCGAAAACGGGGACTTATGTTTTGACCTCCGTGCGTGCGTGCGTATGTGCATGCGTCCGGACCTGTATCTTAGATATGCCTGGACCAATCACAAACAAACTTCACACATACATCGTACATGATATTATACATATGCATGTCAATTTGTTTCATGATCTGATTCAAAATGGCCGAATGGCGGCGATTTTTGTGCTAAAAATCATCAAAATAAAATATTTTTCAGCTGTTTACAGATGGATTTTGTTCGAACCTTGTATATACGTTGGACATTATAGGACCTTGATGGACATCATTTGTTTTACGATCTGATTCAAGATGGCCGAATGGCGGCCACTTTTGTGCTAAAAAATCCTAAAAATCAAGCATTTCTCGGCCGTTTACAGGTGGATTTTGTTCAAACTTGGTATATACATTATATATTATGGGACCTTGATGAAAATAATTTTGTTTTTCAGATAAGATTCAAAATGGCCGACTGGCAGCCATTTTGTTTTAATGACTGTGGTTCTCGTGCCATAATTCTGACTTGCTTTCACTGATTATGTTCAAATTTTAAATTTTCATCATACATCATGTTGTAGATAAACAGATATATTGGTTTGACGATCCTATTCAAAATGGCCAAATGGTGGTAATTTTGTGCTAAAAAATCATCAAATATCAAGCTTTTCTGGCATTTATGGATGGATTTCGTTCAAACTTGGTACATACATTAGACATTACGGGTTCCTGATGCACGTCATTTTATTTTTCAGATTGGATTCAAAATGGCTGACTGATATTTTTTGTATTTTTCAACTTGATTTTGGTGGCCATTTTGAATTGAAAAAATGGGCAAAATACATAGCTACCAACATTTTTTTTCTGAATTTCAAACATTCAGTCACTATTGAATAATTTAGCAAAGTTTCAAGAAAATTGCTTTTCATGTGTGTTTTAGCTGTATTCATCCTTTATAGGAATTTGTTGTATACGGGAAGGGATCAAAACCAAACTGCTTGGTTTTTGGTAGAGCTCTGCCAACGTCTTACAAATCAGTGAGGAAGTACATATCAACCCAAGGTTCACCACCCAAACTAAACTTTCTCTACCAACACTGGCGGTTAAAAATGTTTAAATTAATCACTGGTAGCGTAGTGGTTGTTGCATCAAACCCCTACCCTACTCTATCCATTGAATTGCAATGATAAGAAGAGGATGGTCACACAGCCCTGTCACATACATTTTTTGTAGTCCTAGACATGAAATATGATCTCAACATTTGCACTTGCAAATTGCACTGTCTGTAGGTGGCATGACAGTCTTGTTTACACTTTAATACCACAATGTTATATTTATTATCTAATTACTAATTGTGGTTGATTTTTAAATTCCCCATTTTGTAAACTAAATATAAAGATATTAATTTAAATTATGCAAAATGAGTAAATTAAGCATCAGTTTTCAAATTTCAAAGACCATTATTTTAAACGTTTTTAAAAAAATCAATAAAATCATATTGTCATGTCATAAGATGATATTTAGCGATTCACAATTATTGATTTGTTCATTTACAGGAGGTATCTTCCAAAAATAAACAAAAGTCTCTTGAAGAAAACAGAGCGCTGTACAACTTGGCTTTGAGAGGATTAAAGCTCCTAGCAAGCTGGACGGCTCATGTTATGGAACTGGTAAGGAATGATTTACATACTACCCGTATAATTTAATACTGTACATGCTCAACTTGGATCCAAATTGGTTTAAATAATATGCAATCAAGATATACTTATCCTTTTCACCACCAGTTCCATCTTTTTATCACAAACTCACAAAATAGTCCCTTTTATAGTCTGCACTTTCCTTCAGAAGATTTGAATGAAAATAGCCAATTTTTTTTAGTAAAATTTCTCAAAATGTTGTCTTTTCGCTTCAAAATTAGAGTTCATTTGCGAAAATATTGAAGAATTATATGAAAATATTGGGCAAGGAAGTGTGGTGGTGAAAAGGTTAACTCAAGTTATTTTATGCTGTTTGAAACAATTCTGATGTGTTTTGTATTGTTATTCCCTATATGAGTCCTTCAGTCTGATACCAGCATATCGTTAAAACTTAAATCATTAATGGTTTCTTTTAATTTCATTTTCAAATCTTTCATGTTTTGATTTTGTGCAATTTTTGCCAAAATTTGGCCTCATCAAAGGATCAAAATTTGACCCATGTTTTAAGGGATTTTTTTCCTTCAAAAAGTTGACCAATATCAGGACATCACATATAGCGTATATATATATATTTATGTACACTTTGATATTCCTAATATTATCATATTACCCAAAGTTGTTGTTTGTTGTAGTTCTCCTGGAAGTTAGTACACCCTGTGAGTGATCTAATCAGTGAGAAGATATGTCCTAAAGGAGCTGAAGAATATGAAAGGGTAAGTGCTGCGATATGAGTTCTGACTGTTTACTGTCAAGTCGATTTTATAATGTGGTGGCCATTTCTGAATACTTGCTTTTCAAGCCTTGCTTTCTGCAAGCAAATCGTTGCAGTAGGCTTGAAACCAAGGCTTGGAATGTAATTGAGAGAACAATGTCCATGGCATGATAAAAGTGAATTAAAAGCAACACAGTCATCATGTCACGCTGTGTTTTAATATATTACTGGCCGAATATGGGCATTGCGGCTTGGATGTTGGATATCATTTGCCCAATGTTAATGTAACATGTGATTACGTAGACGTAATGAAATGGTGTGGATTTTAGTTACCAAATAAATTCTGGAATTTTACCAGAACAGTTTTGGAATTCAGAACCCTTGATACAACCCATTAGCCACGAAACTGAGTTCGGTTGACAACGTGAAAGAGTAATATTTATGAGGGGCTCGGCTGATGGCCTAAAAGTAATGACAAATAAATGAAATTGATATTTAATAAAAATAAAATAAAATTCGAATGAAGTATCCCTGACTATCGATCGATCGATTCACTATAAATTCAATACAACACCAATAACATGAGCATAGCAGTAATTACAAAATGCCTATTACATCGCATCTATTGCGTGATCGCACATGAGAATAGTTCAATGTCAATGCTACGTAAAAGTACTTATCAGTAAATAGGAATTCACACTGATATTTGTTGATCGCTGTGAAGTCTGCCGCCAGAAGTCAGGCCACTGCATAGCTTTCAAGATAGACGCTGGGCTTGATCGCTATAACATCTGATGTGTTGTGCAGGTTGAGTCCGACGGAATAGCGTCCGGATTTGCACAAATTCAGGATGGTAATTGATATTCACAGACCGTGAAGGAATCCCTGTCAGATCACTGCAGATTTCATGTCATCAAGCAAAGATTGGCGAACTTCTAAACTCAGCAGTCACACGATAAAGTCCCAGCAAGAATGGCACAGGGATAATGTGGACTATTCGCCGTTAAAAACAATAGTTGGCAGATTTGTACGAGTTTGTGATAATTTCATGTCTTGAACCAGCCAGAAAGTAATCAGTGTTCACTGACCAACGTCATGTTGACTACAGCAAAGTTCGGGCAGCTCCATCTGCGGCACGTTGGAAAACAGCTGCTACCAGTCCGACATCTTGAAAAGGCCGCTCTCAAAAACCTCATGGTCTCATCATGCATTTCAACTTCCGGTTGTTTAGTCACGTAATTCCGCTAATGCGAAATCTCCTAAAACTATCAAAACACATAGTAAAATTGAACACGGTTTCATTAAGAATGCCCATATTTGTGTTGTAATATAATGTCACTGCTTATTGTTAATAATTAATAGCAATAAATTGAACGCAGAACAGACCAGTCAGGGTAATTTGACGTTGAACCACAATTTAAAAAAAAAAAAGATTATAAAATTGCCACAGCTGAGCCAGTCTACCTCATGTTGTGCATATGTGACATACAACATTCCAAAGGTTTGATATTAAGGTCTCAACTGTTTGGAATACATCACGGAACTCTCTAGAGCCAAAGTCAGTATCATAACTTGCATTTAGACAATGACTGAGGCATTTTAAACCACCATATTTTAATAGTTGAGCTTTCAGTATCTATATTACATCATGGTATTAAAATGAAATGTCTTCTGTTCATGCACACAGGCTACCAGATACAACTACAGCAGTGAGGAGAAATTTGCATTGGTGGAAGTGATTGCCATGATAAAAGGACTACAGCGACTTATAAGCCGCATGGAGAATGTATTTACGGATGCTATCCTTTCTACAGTGTACACAGAAATACAGATCTACACTCAGAAATCACTTCGCGAACCACTGAGGATAGCTACTAAGAAGAAAAAGACACTATTATTAACGTCAGTATACACCTATTTTTTGTAATTTACATATCAACATTCTACTTTGGCAGTTCAGTTTTATCTTAATCAAATCTAATCTTGTCTTGTCTAGTCGTCTAGTCTAGTCTAGTCTAGTCTAGTCTAGTCTAGTCTAGTCTAGTCTAGTCTAGTCTAGTCAGCTAGTCTAGTCTATAAATAGTCTATAGACTAATAATTATACAGTTGATTGTTTAATCTAGTCTGTTCTAATTTAATCATAACTTATTTTTATTCAGATTAAATCAATTTACAATCTAATTTTCTGTATCACAGTGTGTTTTTATTACTTACTTCACAGTATACTGAGGTCAATTCGAGACACCAGTGCTGATTGGCTGCATGGCGTTGAGCCATCCAATGACCCAGCTTTGAAAGGTGAAAAAGATCCAAAAAGTGCACCACCATTCTCAATTGATATAGGCAAGAAAAGAGTGGGCCCATCAACAACACAGGTTAGTAGTATAATATGTGGGTGTAAATGGTGACAAAGGATGAATTTGGGGCTCAAAGGGTTAATGTTTTATTAGATGATTGTATATGCAATCATACACTTTTTTTTACCAGCTAACATTTATTTATTTGGCCTGGGCGAAATTCATTCCTTGGTAGATTTCAATAAAATCAAACGTAACAACACATGCTTTACTGTGTTTTCCATGGAAAATGAAACATAAAAAAGTGTCTTGACACGTTTCCATGGGAAATCAAATGTGCATGCACGTTTTTGGCAAATAAGCTATGAATGGATATAAGATGACAAAATCTATTGGTTGAAATTTTAAATTTATATCAAGTTGTTGTCAATATATAGAATGCTGATTGGTTAATCCAGGTTCTTGGCTCAGTCAATCAAATCATTCATCTTAAACTGTGATCACACATGGGTTCATAAGGATGGCCATAGCTGGTTGGCTTCAGCAAAACTGCGCAAATCTAACGCTGACAATCATACAAATTGAAAAATTTGCTGAAATTACGAGATGATCTCAAAGTCTCAAGACAAACCCACATTTCTAGACAGTCTTGTGCAAGTTAGTGAGTCAGTGAAAGAATTGTTTTAATTAGTGTTTGTTTTTTCTGTGAATATACAATGCATCCTATACATGACATGTGATCAAAACCATATTGCGACAGACGCTTTACCTCACTACAAACTACATGTTTTTATTGTCATAATATCATCATTTGTATTACAGCTGTATATGACTCGTACAATGTCTGAATCATTAATCACTGATAGAAGCATTGGGGGTAAAAAAACTATCAAAAAGGATCTTGATGGGTCGTCTCTGGTCGCCATTGAAAACTTCCACAGACGCTCGTTCTTCTATAACCATATGCTGAACTTTGCAGGTAGGTCATCTATATGCTTACATGTACCGTATTCAGTGGATGTCTCAATAAGCCATATGCATGACCTCCAAAAGATCACATCTCCTGGTACTTTTTGGAGATACAAATTCACTATCGATGAAAATTTATCATTAATTTTTTCCAAAATATAAGCAGTTGTCATTTAAGTTATAAATATGATAAAATTACATACATGTATAAAATTGGGATGTCTTGCTGTTAGTGGGCAACAATATCCCCAAAACAATAGGTTAATAGGGTATATTAGGTTAATAAAGTTTTACTGTCAGATTAAAACGCAGTGGTCGTTGCGCAGCGTGTGTTCGAATTTCATGTAAATAAACAATGTATTTTACATGCGTTGTATACATCGCTATGAGTCCCATATCGAACAGGACGCAGCGTGACGACTGCCGCCCTTTAATACACTACATTGGTATTATGCAATGCTGAATTGTTCAGTAGTCACGATTTTATTTTGTGGTTTTTCAGAGACCTTACAAAAATGCAGTGATTTGTCTCAGTTCTGGTACAGAGAATTTTATTTAGAAATGACTATGGGTAACAGAATACAGGTAGGCATGTTATTATGGTACCATTTCCTTTGTAAGTTTCACTAACACAATCTACATGAAATAAGTATGGTATAATAAATCCAATGAGATCATTCATACATATATAGAATCAAGATTGGAATTGAAACACATTTATTCATATATTTGTTCAGATCTGCAATTGTCAACAAAACTTAGTTGAAAGCTTTTTAATTTTGAGGATTAACAACAAAATCAAATCTGAAAGTTATAATGTTCATATACTGATCCAAACCTGATGCATTACTCAACCTTTTCACCTCCAGACTTTCTTGCCCGAATTTTTCTTGTATTCTTCAATATTTCTGGAAATGGACCCCAATTTTGGAGCCAACAGACAAAATTTGAGTAAATTTACAGTTTTTACTCAAGAAAATGTGACTATTAATTTTTGTCCCAATTTTCTGTAGGGAAGTGCAGACTATAAAATGGGACTATTTTGTGATGAAAATAGGATACTGGTAGTGAAAAGGTTAAGAGTGGGGTGTGGGAAACGCTTCACATTAAATATTTATAATTGTTATACCATAGCTACTTGGAACCCCACAGATCATTGCTTGCAGTTATATCTTTAAATGCTGTATTTGCTCTAATAGAAGCACATGTGCTAACTTCATGCCTCCAATACCTTCAAGCACACAGTAGTTCTTTCTAAGCTTTCTTTGATTACTTTATGTGAGTTGGAGATGTATCTAATATTGTAAATACTGTATTCCTTATTTGTAATTCATGCCTCCAATACCCTTAGCACACAGGAGTTCTTTCTAAGCTTTCTTTGATTACTTTATGTGAGTTGGAGATGTGTCTAATATTGTAAATACTGTATTCCTTATTTGTAATTCATGCCTCCAATACCCTTAGCACACAGGAGTTCTTTCTAAGCTTTCTTTGATTACTTTATGTGAGTTGGAGATGTGTCTAATATTGTAAATACTGTATTCCTTATTTGTAATTCATGCCTCCAATACCCTTAGCACACAGCAGTTCTTTCTAAGCTTTCTTTGATTTATTTGTGCCAGACCATAGACAGATCATTTATAAACATATGATACAATAGATAGCACAGTGTAACTATAATATTTAATGATCTGTAAAATGTTTATAGACTGACTTGCATACTAGTAATGTAAATTATTGTTCTTATAGTTTCCTATTGACATGTCAATGCCATGGATATTAACAAATCATATCTTGGAAACTAAACAGCCAGAAATGATGGAGTAAGTAGTATGCACCAAAACAGCTATTCAAAAGGTCACATTCTGTTATGTTGCTGACCTCAAAGTATCACATCGTGGTATTGTGATGACCTCAAAAATCACATATTTTGATGACCTCAAAGGTCGCACATTTTGATGACCTCAAAGGTCACACATTTTGATGACCTCAAAGGTCACATCCTGGTATTTTGATGACCTTAAAGGTCACATCCTGGTATTTTGATGACATCAAAGGTCACATCCTGGTATTGTGATGACCCCAAAGGTCACATATTTTGAAGACCCCAAAATTCGCATATTTTGATGACCTCAAAGGTCACATATTTTGGTGACCCCAAAAGTTGCATATTTTGATGACCTCAAAGGTCACATCCTGGTATTTGGATGACCAAATGGTCACATATTTTGATGACCTCAAAGGCCACATCCTGGTATTTTGATGACCTTAAAGGTCACATCCTGGTATTTTGATGACATCAAAGGTCACATCCTAGTATTGTGATGACCCCAAAGGTCACATATTTTGAAGACCCCAAAAGTCGTATATGTTGATGACCTCAAAGGTCACATATTTAGGTGACCCCAAAAGTTGCATGTTTTGATGACCTCAAAGGTCACATCCTGGTATTTTGATGACCCCAGATGTCACACATTTTGATGACGTCAGAAGTCACACATTTTGATGACCCCAGAGGTCACACATTTTGATGATGTCAGAGGTCACATCTTGGTATTTTGACCTTTATTGCCACATATTGACCTCTAAATCTTACAGTCATTCCTAATGTTCATACATGTGTTGTATATCTGTACCGTTAAACCATTTACAATGATACAAGATTTTGGTGTAAATCACCACCAATAATTGCTGTATATAGCATTGTAGATACAACATGTCACAGATGCATGGTTCAACAAACAAATACTGTAGAATACTTTATTTTCGCTGAATGGATGATTCCGTGAAAATAAAATACAGCGAATATACTTTTTTTCCTATATTTCACATTAAACTTATCAAAAAACAGTGAAAATAAATTCCATACAAAACGCCCAAAAAGCCTTTTCAGCGAAAATTAATTTCAGCGAAAATATAGAGTTCCACACACAGTAAATGAATCTAGAAGGTAAAAATTTGGCTTGGGGGAAAAATAACAGTAAATATTGTTTACAACTTTTGATATCATTGCATCTACATATCTGTACATCAATGTTATAAAATCATAGTTTATTGTACGTATGTTATGTACTCGGCACCAGGGAACATTAGAAAAAAGCAAAATAATTACTCTAAAATTTACTAGGGAACAGAATTTGAGTTATTGTTTATTTCTTGTTTCATATTTAGATATGTGTTATATCCGTTGGATCTGTACAATGACAGTGCTCACTATACGCTTAATTTCTTCAAAAAACAGTTTCTCTATGATGAAGTGGAAGCAGAGGTAAGTATAGAATAAAGTATTCTAAAAAGAAGGTAGAGGAAGTAGTGTAAAATGCATAAAATAATACATTGACACAAACCTAATTGTGTATAATTATTCAACTGACTCCCTAGCTATGTATTTATAATTGTTGATATGTCTCCCTAGCTTTGTATGCATAATTGTTGATAAGACACCCTAGCTATATATGGTATATATAATTGTTGATATGTCTCCCTAGCTTTGTATATATAACTGTTGAAATGTCTCCCTAGCTTTGTATGCATAATTGCTGATAAGACACCCTAGCTATATACGGTATATATAATTGTTAATCTGTCACCCTAGCTTTGTTAATATAAATGTTTTTTTAATATTTTTATAGGTGAATCTGTGTTTTGATCAATTTGTTTACAAGTTAAGTGATCAGATATTTGCATATTATAAACAACAAGCTGGTTATTTGTTGTTGAACAAGAAATTCAAGAATGACTGGAACAAATTTTATACTGAAAAGGAGAAGAAATTGTTGTCGTCACAGACTCAAGGCTCAATAAGATACGAACCATTACTTAAACAACGACATGTACAGGTAAATGCATGATTTTATATTTGCACTTTAATTATTATTACTATTGCAGTGTCTCCTTAGGTAAGTGATTATATATTGTGGCTGATTTGCATAATAATACTTTGTAATTTGCATTTGAATGTTGTTACAATAATAATAGTTACATATTAACATAGTGTCTCTGTTGTTTGTGTGTAAACCTGCCTTGCTTCTGAAAAGTTAGACTGCATTTGCTTGCTCCTAGCTTTCTTGATCCTGTGCCTTACTGGTACCAAGGATCTGGGGGAAATAGTCTTGTTTCTGTCATTTCGAGGTGTCAGTATTATTATTTTGACCAATTTGTATATTTGATTCTTTTTCAGATATTGGGTCGATCTGTAGACTTGAACCAATTGATCAGCCAGCGAGTTCAAGCGTCATTACAGACTGCATTGGACTTGGCCATCAGTAAATTTGAAAGCAGTGATCTGACTGGAATTATTGTAAGTACATATCAGAGAATTAATGGTTTAAATGCCATAAGTTTTGGTGCTACAGTCTGCACATTTTTAATGTATTTTTCTATAATTAATTTTTCAATTTTGGACGAAATGAAGACATTTGCTAATAAGCTACAGAGTTTGATAAAAATATGATAAAACTTATGCTGCTTGGGTTTGTGAATGGTGAAAAATTTGACTTTTGTGTCACGGGTCAAAGGTCAAAGTGTTATACATGTGTCTAGGGAATCTATCTGGTACAAAGATCACTATGCAAATGTCTACGAAAAATTTATTCAGGTTTCTGTCAAAAGTCACAAATTCACTCAAATTTCAGTACAGGCACTTAATGCCCAGTACCTGTAGGGTAGCTCTTGAGAGTTATACATTGGAGGACAAAGGTACTATTTCCATCATAAATCAATAAAATATTATTTATTTCATACTGAAAAATTAATTTGAAAATAAATCTCTAAATTTTAATGATCTGTCGGCTAAAAAAAAAGAATTTAATTTTTTTTCCAATCCTTTCTAACATTTTAATTGAGATTGAAAAATATGCCCATATGGTCTTAAATTAACAAAAAAATTACAGAAAGATTTAGAAAATCTTGGCGGAAACAAATATAGTGTTTAAAAAGTTAATAGATAAATTGTATCTTGCAATCTTATGTTGTCATGGTACCTGATCTTATCTTATACGCTTTCATTTCAGGAGCTTGAAGCATTGCTGAACGTGAACGAACTAACCCATAAACTGTTGGCTAAATATATGAAATTGACAAAATTCAGTGAAATGTTACGAGAAGCCAACCGCACCGTACAAGCACCGTATGGAAGGATCACTCTGCACATATTCTGGGAGCTCAACTCTGAGTTTCTACCAAAATATTGCTACAATGCCTCAACAGACAGGTGAGGAAATATTCAGAATTGAAAGAATGTTTTGCTCCCCTATTGCTACTTGTTTCATTGTGTTAGCAAAGCAGTTTTTTTTTTATTCAGCCTATATATATATATTACTGGGGAATTGGTAATTTTGTGATTGTGTAAATATTGTGTATGGGTAAGACATTGTGCAGTTGCAGTGGTGCAGAAATCAAATCATATCTTTAATCACATTAATAACATTCCCGGGTTTCTGCTGTTCACTGTAGTTGTTATATTTTGTTTGTTTCAGATTTACCAAAGCAAAAGCTGATATCTTGCTTCTCACTACATCAGACGAATCAGAGAGAGAAAAAGCACCCTCAGCCAGGTCACATTTTTTCTTTGGGTCAAAGGTGATTAAAAATATACATTCCAATTTCATTTTGAACATGTGATGTGTTTTGTTATATATTGCATTCACTATTAAGTAGTTAAAACAACTCTTTCTAATAAACTTTATTGTAAACACAAAACTTCATAGTAAAGATGAAGTACTGTAAAATCTGTATTAAAAGCCACAGCTTCTAATAAAATGGAACAATACAACAGAGGGGATGCAGCTTCTATAAGAGCATCTACACATATAAGAAATGGTGAATTTGTGGGTCTCAAATGTTCAAAAAGAATGGGTATGGCTTCTATTAGGGATGCGGCTTTTAATACAGATTTTACGCTAGTATTAATAGTATAATAGTAGTATAGCAAATATAAAACTTTATAGTAAACACAACACTTTATAGTAAACATGGCATTATATGGTAAACATGACACTTTATAGTAAACATGACACTTTATAGTAAACACAACACTTTATAGTAAACACAACACTTTATAGTAAACACAACACTTTATAGTAAACACGACACTTTATAGTAAACATGACACTTTATAGTAAACACG